GTTGAATTGTTTTTCATTGAATTGTTTTGTTAAATAGGCCGTACCAATAAGTCCTATTGTGTTATATTAATTAAATTAATTTTTGGATTATCCCCTTTTTTATTATACTATAGTTTTCGCCCCCTTACTTTTTTAACGTCGATTTGTGTACAAGTCGCCACGGGAAGCCGTTAGAACACCCAAAGAAACCCTTTACTCGTAAATAATTCAGTCTAGCTCTCATCCCAGTTGCGTAAAAACCGCTCCTTGACCGATTAAAATAGTAGCACGCAACAATACAACCGGTATTGTGATCACGAAAAAAATAAATTTGAACCATATAGAGAAGTCAAAGAAGTAGTATTGAAATCATTACATAATTCAAAGAAAATTATATCCGAGTTTATAAATAAGCATAATTAACTTTTTCAAATTAAATTCAGGCTGTAGTACTGGACTGGCTATATTTCTTATTAAGAACTTAAAACCCAGTTACTAATGAATACTCGATAGTAATACTTATGCAGAAGATGGTGATATACGAAATTCAATTACGAAGGATTAATTAATTAATTAATTAGTTTCCAAATTCATGTAACTGCAAAAACATATGCATTATTTTTTGTCTAAAAAGTACTAACGATAATTATAATAAACTAAATATAACTATATTTTATCAAAATCTCAGTCGAAATCACACATTTATTATTGCCAATAACATATGTTTTTATTATGCAATTGAGCATTATCTATAAAATTTATTTGCAAATAAAAATATGCTATTTAGTAGAAATTAGAATTAAAATAGATTTCATAACGATAAAATAAAATTCGATTAATTATTTACTGTAATCTTAAATTTGTGTCTTATATTAATGTTGTTAATGTTGTTATTATTACTACTATTATTATTGATATTATTATTACTATTATCAAAATTCATTATACTAACATATTTTATAACATTCGCAGCAGTTGTCGTACTATTAGCAGTTGTATTATCGTTATCGTTATCGTTAGGCAGACGTGACTTGTGGTTGACTGTGGCGATGAATTATTAAATTTTTCCGAGTTTCCTCTTCACGAGCTCTTAGTTTGTTTAATGCATTCTCAATAATAGGTGTGATATTATAAACTTGTATTGTTAAGATATTGTTCAAGTGATTCTGCTTTTTTGAATCAATAACGATATATGGTCCAATACGTATCGGTATATCCAATACTTAAACTGTAAAGGCATCCAAACAATTAACATAATCACAAAAAATACGTTATATTATCGTTCTTATCAAAGGTTATTTAACAACGTGATTAAAGAGTTTGGATGCAAATCCTTTAAAGTTTAAAGTATTGGATAGATTGGGTGGCTTTAGTCTTTTGCACCATATTCTCTCGATTCACCAGGACGTAAATTTTAATCACGTTTATAAAATTAGTTACGTCAACCATTGACGCTCTTGTGTCTATGCTTGGTGAGCGTCTGCCTCGTCATATTTATCATTTATTGTCAATTGAATCAGAAGATGAACTTGGCGGAATGTTTTTGTTGCTTCAACGTTAGATAATTGTTGTGATGCTGGCGATTGGCGGCATATTAAAGAAGTTTATGTGTACCGTAAATTTTAATTTGACCCTATAAAAAGGAGATTATGTGATCTGTATAGATATTATACATATCCTCTACAATATATTACCAGAAATTTCAAAAATGAATTTGTTACTTTGGATTTAGGAATACCAATTCTATAATGAAGATGAGAAATATCAACCGCATTCGTATAGAGTTGACTTAATTCTGTAATGAATCTGTAGAATTAACTTACTAGGCGACATATTTACTCGCTGACTCATCATTACATGCGGAATAGATGTGGCGTTGAATTATTTTTGATCTGATTTTTATTTGATTAAAATTAGAATTAGTATTTCATATATTTGACGCAAAAGTTTACCTTTGATATATCTGCAAGACTCCTATTGATACATGTCGAAGCACAGTCACGTTTTTAAGCCTAACGCCATTGTTTTAATATCGATATCAATAGATAATATTTTAATGCATACATATTGTTGTGTTTACGATAATTATAGTTCTAAATACAAATCGTATGATAAAAATCATACGCATTGATTTTTTATCATATGTAACTTCTTTGGGCCAAACCCCATAAACAAGAATTCTATTTATACTGTTTAATGTAAGAAAGAATTGGAAACTATTTATTCTTATCTCGTAAGATACAGCACCAATCGGATTGAATACGGTTTGTTTGACCAAAACAACTTGAGCCCGAGAAAAAAATAAAGTTTATCTTTACTCTCTGAACTTTAAATGATAGCACATTTTGAGTGTTCCCTGGTCGGTGATCAGGTCCTGAATCTGTGTATATGAAAATGTTTTAGGCCTTTATTCCGTACAACAGGACAGGACTGTTCTTTTACTCTTTGAAATTTAAATGATAATACATTTTGAGTGTTCCCTGATTAAGGTCGGGTCCTGAATATGCGTACATGATTATAGTATTTTACAGCATAAAGGCCTAAAAATCTTTTCACAAATACTATTTACCAATTTATTTGATGGTTTATTACTCACTCATTTATACATTTCTTATCAACAATATCATGTCTTATCGACAATATCATGAATTAAATCATTGAGTTCACACTAATTGTCATCATATTTATCTTCTATACAGTCAACTCTTGTTAAACGGATCATATTTTACTTCGATTTAATAGGAGTTGACTATATCTTCTTTATTAAATCCAAATAGTTACATATTTATCTAATAAGAGTATACATTGATGAAAGTCATGATGCACAAATTCCTCTTTTTAATGATATCAATTGAATTAAATATTGTAATGTTGTTTCCAAATTCAATTCTTCGTAGTTGAATTCATATATCACCATCTTCTGCATAAGTCATTACTACCAAGTATTCATCTGTAACTGGGTTTTTAGTTATTTCTTAATAAGAAATAAAGCCAGTGCTACATTTTAAAATAGCCTGAATCTATTTTAAAAAAAAGTTAATTATGCTTACACTTATAAACTCGGGTATAATTTTTTTGAATTATGTAATGATTTCAATACTACTTTGACTTCTCCATATGGTTTAAATTTATTTTCTTCGTGATCACAATACCCGTTGTATTTGTGTAACAATGCTTTATAAATTAATCCAAAATTCCTTTTGCAACCCACAACATTACTATATGTCTACCATGGAATTCAATAGCTCTTTCGGAAATTATAGGTGAGAGAAAGTACTTTAAATAAAGTTACTTTTTATAATTTCAAGGGGGAATTATGTTCCAACCCTATGAAAAAATCGCGGAGAACTGCATAAAAAATATTATGGAATAACTTGGGAATTAGTAAGGACTGCTTCGGAATTAGCTCAATTTCAGGAACTGACTCGGAAAATGCAAATTATACTGGTTCCGGCAAGTTCATGAGCGTTTTTTGGAATTCCTTCCGTAGGATCGACAATTTTTTCTTTATGACAATATTTTATACCATCAAAATCGATGAATCGAATCTAAATAAGAAATTTTCTTTGTAAGTGGCTAACAGATTTCGTTATCATTATCATTATAAATAGATATCACTATATGTACCAACTAGACAATAAAAGATGCTAAAATATTGAATTCTATTCGTTAAAATTTAAAGTCTGCAAAGGGTGGTGATGCTGGTGGACAAATCAATCTTGTTATGTTAAACAATTACTACATGTGCATACTCTGTCGTTATACACTTTCTTTTATGTATGGGGTAGACGGAACATACAAAAGTTAATTACAAAGCAAATTACCACTTTGCATTATATTATATAATATTATATAAGGATCAAGTAAAAGTTAAATGTGCACTTTGTGTTCAAAGTTTTGGCTTAAAAAGTTTATTTATGTCAAACTTCTCTCAAGTATTATGTTAATATCAGATAACATTTCAAATCACAAATACGAATTTCGGATTTGCTATGGTGCATAACATCTAAAGTCATCAAACGTTTGTATTTTACAAAATGTATAAACATCTTTACTAAGGAGTAAATATAAAATTTAATCCGTGAATATGCTCAGAAATGGCCTATTCTATCATATTCACGGATTAAATTTTGCATTTAGTTCTTTGAAAAGATGTTTATACAGTTTGTAAAATACAAACGTTTGATGACTTTAGATGTTATGCACCATATTCATAAAAACTTAAGTAATCATAAATAAAATAATCAGCTTAAGTAAACAAATATCATTGTCAAATTGTATTATATGGTGCATGACATCTAAAGTCATCAAACGTTTATGTTTTATAAAATGTATAAACATCTTTACTAAGAAGTAAATACAAAATTTAATCCGTGAATATTCTCAGAAAGAGCTTATTCTATCATATTCACGGATTAAATATTGCATTTACTTCTTTGTAAAGAAGTTTAGACATTTTGTAAAATACAAACTTTTGATGACTTTAGATGTTATGCACCATATCAAACTATTGTTTTTATGCATGCTGGGGTAATAAAAAAAACTGCTCATATAAACAATATTAAAGCGCATTCAGACCAATTCTGTGTATTTGAAAATAACTTTGTGCATTTAAAACAATTTGTAATTAAGTTAAAATAATTGCTTTTATAGTTCAAAACAGAAGAGCGAATAATGTAAAATTATGAACAAGACTACGTATGTATGCAAACAGGAGAAGTTGTTTGGATAAACATTTACGCAAATTACATTGATGCCATTAACTAATAACTGTGTTTTAGCGTGCAGATGGGATATCAGTAGACTTCTATTTCTAACATCTTTCATTTATAACAATAAATATATATACGCGTACTGATTTGGAATTTGTATGATTGATAAATGGAGTAACAAAGATAAAGCGCAAGTTAGTATACCAATCATTTATTGGTAATAAATTTTATGTATTTATTATACAGTACAGGACACTTAAAGACGCCAATAAAATTAGTCATCTTTAAAGCAAAGGATCTTTATACAAAGGTCATACAAAAAAAGGGGGCCGATATTTTGTAACTAGACCTATTTACTACAAAATAAAGGCCTCCTTTTTTTTGTATAATCTTTGTATAAAGATCCTTTGCTTTAAAGATGACTGCGTCCTCTTGAACACAATATAATATCATTTGGCGCGTCCAATTGCCATTATAATACATGTATAAGAAATCAATCAATTCGTCATACTTGATTTGGGATCAGCGGACCAATCAACTCGGCGACACAAGAGAATCATCGTGAAAACACGGGACAGATGCCTGATATAACTTAAAGTACTAATTAAAATGTCAGTGAGACAGTTTTACATATTATCCTATCTTGAATCACAATATTGACCCTGATACTAATCTTAAAAGCAACTTTAACGTTAATTATCATTACATATCGATATGTACAGTAAAATTCTCGGAACGATCCATATCGATATAGATTTACCGATTAGCAATAATCGCTGATCCGACAATTTCCATTTGCTCATATATTTGTGTACTGAATTTACGAAAGAGTGATCGTTTACTTGCTATCATCTCATACACGTGTGCAAAATAAACGGCAAAATACAAATAACGATACAGAACTGACAATTTTATATTCCCGAGACCTCCTAGAAAATGCTGACACCGAATAATAATGAACTGAAAGAGCAAATAAAATAACAACTTGTGGCAGTGCTCGACAACTCTATAAAAGTGACATGTTTCTAGTTGTCTTTTTTGCCGTTCTGAATTTAAAATAAGAAATACATTTTCTTTTAGCAATTTCACAAATTATATTTAAAATGTCTGATTCCGTTGTTAGCATTAATTATAATTATTTGAACTATAATGATTTGCTAATCTTAAGTAAATGCCCTTACCAATTAACCCTTTCTATTGAAGAATTAACCAAACCAGCTGTAAAAAACCGTGGCGAGTCTGATAAACCACCACGACCACAAAATAGCTGGATAATTTTTCGAAAAGATTATGAAGCGAATTTACGTTTATGCTATCAACACGTCAAACTAAAAGTCAAAGAAACAGCAAAAGAATGCAGTTTAAAGTGGCGAAAGCTACCAAGCGAGGTTAAGCATTTCTTCAAAATATTAGAGAAGATAGCTTGTGCGAACCACCAAAACCTATATCCTAATTATAAGTATAAGCCACAAAATACGAAAAATGCAAACATTAAGAAATGGATTTTTCGCGAACAAAAGAAATATGCGTTTGTCCCGTTACCCATTTCTAGCTCGCTCACTTTAAGAAATGAAATCATGAATCATACAGCATCAACAATCGAATGTAATCGTAATGTTATCACCACTTCGACAACTATTGATTATACTTATCCTTTTATCAATACTAATATCGATGCTACTGCTACTGCTGCCGCCGTTGATGATTATAATACGAATACTTATGAAACTCCTATCAATGAGTCATTTGTTAGCAATACTCATGATAATGTCTCAATCAACAATTCTTCATCGCCAAACCAATTCATCACTAATAATCAAATAATGTCATCAGTATCTTTATCCTTGTCAGAACCAGAGTCACTCTCACAATTATCTATCCCAGAATATGATTTATTAAATATTAATTTTGAAAATTTATTATATGATAACTTTTCTTCTTAATCATTTTTTCCGTTATATGATATACAAAATCACTTAGACAAATAGAGATTTAAACTTCACTATATGTTGTATTTGATACAAGTTAAATTAGATAAATTTACTTAGATTTGAACTTCGCTATATGGAGTATATGATTTAAACACAAATAAGTCAATATATAATCCTTCGACAATCATTCTTTGCAACTAATATATTTTATTCGATTATTCATATCAATTTTATTCTTTTGTTTAGTTTATTAATTCGTGTTGTCTGTTATTTCGTTTATTTTTAATAGTTCGTTGTGTCTGTTTTTTTTTAGTTCGTTCTGTTCTTTAGGTGATTATATTTATTTAATAAAAATATCAATTACCGAGATTTCTAGCCTAATACATGTACATGTAATTTTGATTGATTGGTTAACAAAAATCATGTGATCTGATTACTGAACGTAATCCTCTACGTGCTTTTTTAACGTTATGCAGATCATGTGACATGGAACATGCCCAGGTTCTACTTTAACATTTTACATGTACACATCCCTACAATAAATTACCGGAAATCCAGAAAAAAGCATAGAGATAATTTCAATTTTACTATGCTTTTTTCTGGATTTCCGGTAATTTATTGTAGGGGTGTGTATATTAAATTTTTCATAATCATAAAAATCACCATTCCAGAATTATTCCTGCATATATCGTCTAAATCTATGAAATTCCTTATAAAGTTAAGTAATTTCACTTCAAATTTATTTAAACAATAAACAAAAACAATTCCAAAACGTATCGCTGCCACATTGACATAGAAGCATAATAAGTAAGATGAAGGAAATCTGTAATGAAACGGATACAGAATGACAATACTTCAATTGTCTATTTACTATCTTTACCACATAGTATCTCTACGAATTCAAATTCAGACAGACTAATCAAAGTACAACTTTAAATATTCCAACGAAAAGGGAAAAAAGACATGCAATAAACCAAAGACCAGTTATGTCATCGCCGTCGTCATTATCATCGTCGTAATTTGTGGTCGAAAATCGATTTTGGGTTGAGGATCTGAACTTAATCAAATTCCACTGAAAACCATTTCCTTGCCGACAACAGCAAATTACCATAAACTAGTCAGTGTATGACAATTCGTTGTCCGTATTACGTGGTCTTTCTATAATGCGCTTCCATATGTCATCGACGAAAGCATAATCATAGTCAAACACAATATAGCGATGGATAGTTAATCAAATATGTAAAATCTATGTTGTTATGTTTGTGTGTTATGTATAAAATGAGACAGAACAATTAAAGAACCATTTGTGTGTGTGTGAATAATAACAAGCTCTTCCTTTAACGACAATAAGCAAATCGATTTAGATCATTACAATAAATAGAGAATCAGAAGAGAGCCATTTATTATTTTAAAAGTCTTTATTACTCTTAATAGGTAAAAATATTAACGAATACGGGCAGGTATTTATATGCATAATGTAAATTTAAAAGAATTTCTAGTCTAACGTGTCGCCATATTATAAATATTGATTTGAACCGGTTATACCATAATCGGGTAACCGAACCGAACCGAAGAAATTCGGTCGAGAAAAATCTTTAACCGGTTCAACTGGGACCAACCGGTTAATAACCGGTTAACCAGTTATCAAAAAGGATTATTTTGACACGATACAACAAATATTGGAATACAACGCAATAATGGGAGCCGGCCAGGCGTAAGAAGTATCATAATCGATTACGGGGGTTACGAAGTGTTATGAATGATGAAATCGTTGGTAAGGTAATTATGGGAAAGGAAAATTGGGAGACGAATCACTTATAAAAAGAGATTCGTCGCATAGCTATGAAGGGGATTTTTGGGGGCGTCTAAGAATAGAGTTAAATTTAAATCAATCATCAATCAATTGTAAATAAAAGCATCACATCTTTTTTCAGATGCTGGCAATCACCCCACGACGCTCCAACTTAAATCCAAAATTAGTTTCTTGAATGCTATTTTTGAAAAGAAATGATGATTTTGTTAATATGTTTCCTAGTTCTCACCTGTATAAGCAAAAAAAAAAAGCAGAATCAAATTGAGAATAGCTTTTTTTTGCTTCAAATAAAAAAATATATTTGTGCTATACTGTTACCGAAGTAGCATTAAATTCTTCAATTCCGTAATTTTGATTCTCAATTTCTCATGAAAATTAGTTTCTTGTGTAAGTTCTATACCAAATTTAGATACCAATACCTTTTTTCTTTTTCTTTTTTTATCGTTATTTATTTACATGTACATGTATATCGAATTACGATCGCCAAGAAGAGAGATTACCACCGCTAACATACGCACTATCACGAACACGTGCTTGGGTATTTTAAATTCGATACACTTTTTATTATATGAAACTCTAATTTATTAGAATACGCTCGGTGGAATAAAGTCACTGGACACTTTTTTCGCGAAATAATAGTGGAAAACTAATGAAAAACTTGTATTAGTGTTATAGCATAGCATAAATTCAACAACCCCTTCGTCGAACCCATCGTCGTAAATTTAGTTCTGACGAAAATTAGCGCCAAAAATGCGATGAACACGATGAAATGAATACGACCAATATATCGAAATTTTGGAAGCGAAATTAAATGATTTAGAATATGTAATTAAGGAACTTGTCAATAATCAAGTTGACATTTCTTTGGAATCCGGCAGTGGAATTGATTTTTCGCAAATTGTCAGTATGAAACCATAATATTTTTCAAATGGAATTGTCAAATGTTAATACTAATTAGTTACTATGATTAGGACACGGAAACACTCCTTGAAATTTTAACTCAATTACGAGCACATAATTAATATTAAATAATTCCATTCTAAATATTTTTTATAAACTTATTTTTTCAATATATGCTGATATTTATTTTTTCGATGATATTTTAAGCAAATAAAATTCAATAATAAATCAAGATATATTCTGAATCTAATAAAAACTTATAGTTCCTGAATATCAATCGTTCTTTTTCAATATTAAAAAGTATACTGGTAAAGAACTAATAGTAGTACCGTAAAGCGTTACTCTTAATTTAGTTTAAATAAAACCATTTTTTTTCTACAGAACGAATAAAAAAATTTAATAGCCTCGAGGTTACATTAAGGTTTGAATTTTCTACAAATGGGGTACTTTATGCAGCGCTTTACGATATTCTTTAAAATTTTTTATCTAGTAAGTATTCCAAAGGTTTCGTTAACAAAATCCAAACAAAACATATGATTTTTTCTCGGATCTGAGGAAAAAACGTAATTTCGTCCAAAATTTTGGTGTCTTTTTTTACAGGGGAAGATGAACCATCTATTATTATACTAAAACTAGTACTGTACAGCAGTGTTGTACATTTTGGATGTCCAAGCACTTTTTTGACTGTCTAAATGTCCAAACGTCCAAATGTCCAAGTGTCCAAACTCTTATACTATTAAAAAAATCAAATAAAAAATATATGATTATATACAACGAGTAATTCTAAAAATTTTTAATTAGAGTGTCCAAACAGGTTATTTTAATAAAATTTTGAGTAAATTTGATTTTTTTTTGTTAAAAATGTCCAAGTTTGTCCAAAGGCATGTCCAAAGCTGTCCCGTGACAACACTGCTGTACAGGTATTCGCAGCAAAAAAAAAACAACTCATTATTCTAAATTTGCATTCATAATAAATGCACTAATTTGCTAAACCATTATTCTTAATAAAGGTTCGTTGTTGTTCGGGTATACCACAGAAACCTCGACAATTATTCCAAAACTTTTCATTTAAATCATAGCATCTTCAAAAATCTCTGCACGTATGCTTTTGTATGAATCCATTCATGTACAAAACACACTTATCTTTATAAAGAGGATCGGGTAAATCAATAAAGACAAATTCCTATACAACATCTTTCCGCATTCTTTGTTTAGCGGATAAAACTATTCCCTTCGAGTTTATTATCGTTATTTCTTAATGCCGGTAAATTTGTTTTTGCAGGATAGTTTTAAAGATCATCCTTGTCTTGTCTTGATATGTAAAACAATTACATGTATATGTCTATCGTTATGTCGAGAATAACGATAAAGCTATTCGTAATTGTTTATTTATAATCGTAATATCATAATGTTCCTGATTTGGATATAAAGCGAATTGTAACAATTATGTTCGGTAAAGCAATGACTCGTGCAGCAAGGAACAGCGACTGAATGAAAACAACGTCTTTGAAAAATTAGAAACGATAGAAACTTCTATTGCATAGATTATGAATTTATGATTTTCAGTATTACGCGCAGTTGAAAGGCGTTTGTATTAGACGAACTGTTACGTGTACAGCGCTTCTTTGTCCTATAAAAAATAATTTAATTCTAATGCATTAAATAATTTTCAATTTCATGATTTTGGCTCGTGTATATAATGTCGCACTCAATTCGTCATTTCTTTTTATCCAAAAATATACTTTTTCAATAAAAAATCTATATAATGGCATTTAAACAACAAACTTTAACTCCATCAAAAAACCTTGAAAGCAATAACCACAACATTCGTATCAAAAAAAATCTTCGGAAATGCAATACTAACGAAATAGATATGGTGCATAACATCTAAATTCATCAAACGTTTGTATTTTATAAATGGATAAACTTCTTTAATAAGAAGTTTATCCATTTTATAAAATACAAACGTTTGATGAATTTAGATGTTATGCACCATACCACGGGAAAGAGATACATTTTTCAAATTCGAGGTGCATCTTATCCTCCGACACGTCGTACTTTTAGAAATCTAAAGAACTCGACCAACTGTAAATCTTGTGATCAAAATTATCAGTATGTTAATAGTTTGGAGGCGAGGTTGAGAGATTTGGATTTAATTGTCGATAAACTGAATGGAGTTAAAGTAACAACAGAAAGTCTTGAAAAAGAGAAACTTGATTTTTCAAATCTGGTACTTTAATTTTTTGATTTTTTTAAGGAAAAAATATTTAAGATTTAATTTCTATTCTTTGTTTCTTGTAGGATATTGATGAGCTTTTAAATATATCGCAAAGCCTTCGGCTGTAAATTTAACGAACTCCTATATAAGTTTAATCAAACGAGCAAGAATTCGGTTGTAAGTTTAATGAGATCCAAGAGAGTTCTATATTTAATGTCATAAAAGAAAAATTCGTTATAACTTTTCATTGAATAAAGTTTAGCTCACTGAATTTACTGAAAAATATACTATAAAGTCCCGAAAATAAGCAACCCATATATATAATAGATATGTATATATAATAAAAAAAGATATTTATAAATAACTTGACAACCAGTTCGTCTCACTGAGGCGAATCTGACGAGCTATAACACGTTCGATTCGGATAACTTGTTGCCGAGATTTTTACATTTTTGCGAAAGACTCGAAATAAGCAACCCCCCTTAAAAATAAATTTAAAAATGATGACATAGGGGCTTGTTTATTTTCGGGACTGCGGTAATTGGATAAAAACCTAATCATCTAATTACTTATAAATATATAATTTATATATGTAATATATATTATAATCGGTATAATCTAGTTGTTTTCTTTTCTTTATTAAACCATTTGAATATTAATTAACCCAACATCCTTTAGTTATATATCGTAATTTAACACTCTTAATTTCTAAATAAACTTTAATATCTATTAACATCAAAAGAAAGTTTTAAGCAATAAGATTTATCGTCATAGTATTTACGAGATATGTACATCCTCAAATCGTAAAGACATTTGTTTTCTTTGTCAATAATTATTTTATAATTTTATTCTCTAATCAATACAGTCTAGAAAAGTACATGTACTACATGATGTAGTTTGTAGTGGTAGTGGGTTAACATTAATAATAAAAAAAAATAAGTGGATATCGTCTATAAATAACGCTCGTTAACATCTCGTTATAATAACACAAAATCTCTTCCCCGATCTCATTACTTTCATAGTATTTATTTTTTCGATAGCGTAACATCTCGATATAATAACTCTTCCCTGATCACGTTATTGTATCCGGCGCTCACTGTAGACGTTTTCTCCATTTCTCAACTGATAAAAACGTCGGTAACTCAAGAAAACAACAACACTTTATTTACTGACGTGTGTGATATTGTGATCTCAGGATTGCTCCCTTTGCTTGTTACTCTTCTATTTAAAGCTAATTCAAAGAATACAACAAAAAATATTATTCTCGGTTCCTTGGATGACTTATTCTTTTATTGTATTGTTGCGCTTATATTAAATTGGAGCGACTAGAGGGATTTCTAACGCAACAAGACTTTGGGAGAGATTACTAGACTGATTGATGTTTATTCGGTATCTATAGCCTGTGCCGATATCTACGGATATCGTTGACTTACGTTGATTTTTGGGGGAAAGAGAGAGTCTATGTGTTTCAGGTGAGTGTTCTGAGGTTCTTTTATTATTGCTTTTTATAGATAAAAGCCTTAAGCTCTTAAAATATTAATAACAATCGTTGCTTTTTTTAGATAAAAGCCTTAAACTCTTAGAAATAATAACGATAATAGCGATTACACAAAAACGGTTTTCATTAACAATGCGATTCTACACGAAACAATGCCTTTTCTGGTGCAAAGGACTTAAGATTAACGTGGGGGAAAGGGGAAGAGTTTTACAAGCAATAATTCGCTTTTAAGAATAGCTGTACGCAAAGATTCAAGCTGTATTTACTTGAAGAAGAATTGTATGCAATTTTATTCTTAATAGCCCGTGGGCCATTCTTTTATATATTTTTTTGTGTATTATTATTTGTACTATCAAAGGAAGCGTAACGTTTTACTAAAATAAATAAAAAAAGAGTTTATAATGGACACTCTATCATCTACAGAAGAAACTGTTACAAAATCGAAAACTGATGGAACCGTGTTGAAGATTGATGAGAAGATGCTGAAAATGATGAGAAGATACTGAAAATGATGAGGATGAGATGTTGAAAAATGATAAGAAAATGCTAAAAAAAAGAGAATGTGGGAAATGATGTGATTTTGTATCACATACTAAAAAGAGAGTTTGTTGTTTTTTTATTAGCATGTCATCATGCTGAAAAATTCACAAATCACATTTGTTGACATTCATGATGAAATCTGCTGTTTTGCTGAATAATCTACAACAGTATTTGTTGATAGTTGCAGTGAAAATTAGCTGTTGAAAAGCTTACTGAATTGGGAAACTTGAAAATTAGCTGCTGAAAAGCTTACTGAATTGGGAAACTTGCAGTATTGTGAATGATCATGATGGAAATTCTCTGCAATTATTACTATAACTCTATTGATTTTGAAAATCAGTGATACTACACATATACTGATCTAATATTATTAATATTTGTGACTCAATTTCTGTCAATTATTCTCAAAGAATCATAATCGAGAAAGTTTGTTTGCCAGTAGTAATATTTGTTCTTTTTTTAAAATTGAGCACTGTTAAAATTATAGATTCATTGAGCAAGTTTTTCTATTTCTTGAACTTTGAGTTGCAAAATGTGACTAAGTATTAAAATAGTATAATATCAATTTTATATGGCCTATAATTTTGAAATAATTAGAAAGTACGCTTTCTGATTTACCAATATCTGATCAATAAGAGCAGATTAATTTATTTCTGAAATATAATTTGTTCTTTAAAAATTTGTAGACTTTGGCTATAATACTGAAATATATCATATAGAAGACTGCTGAGATAATAGTATCTTTGAAATTAGATTTATTATTATCTGAACTTGATAAATATTGTAAGTAATATGCTTAACTTTTTCCTCTCATAAACAAGCAATATGAAAATAATATTTGATTCATGATAATTGAGAATTAATATAATTTTATCAACAATTTTATTGTGACTTTATTTAAAATGGTTGTCATATTGATATTAATATATTGCAATTGGCTGTTCTTGACTAGAATTAATTAATTAATAATAAAATTATTAAACTAATATTTTTGTAGTGTTCAGATGATCTATAAAGTAATAATTACAAACTTCTTATATTACTAAATACTATCAGTATTGCTTATTTTTTTGTGTTGTATTATATATTTTTTGTGTTGTATTATATATTTTTTGTTATTTTTTATAAACTAAAATTTTCTTATTTATATAATTTTGTTGATTAATAGAAAATTTTCAGATATTAAACTGCATTTTTATATATTAATTATTATTATTTATTGTTGTATTAATTATTTTTTTATATTATATATATTTTTTTGCATATAATTATTATCTTTTTTTTATTATTATTATTTTTTTCTTTTTTTATATTATCATTATTTTTTTCTTTCTCATAATTCTATTATTATTTTTTTTTTGTTTGAACTTTATTAATACATATAATTTTTTATTTTAGGTATTATAATTAATATGTTCATTTCTCTCTTGTAATAGTATTTAGACTAATTACTGTTAAAGATTTTTTTTAGCGATTAATTATACTAATTTTTCTTTGAACACCTGTATCTATAAATAATATCTTCAAAAATAAAAGTGATAACTGTGAATACTTTTTTGTTGAAAATTATCTTGATCTTAGATTACTTAGTGAGATAATTAATAGATTATATACTGATTTTTTTTTTGCTATTGGCTGACAAGATCTAATTAAATCAATAATTTTCAAAATGGTCGTGACGAAAAGTTTCGTCGTCGTCAAGTATCATTATCTACGATACCTAATAATGTGCAAATTTATTATTGAAAAATTTTGGCATCCTATTCTAAGAAACAAACCAACTACAGTCAAAGCTCTATATTACGATCCTCTTATATAGCGAGATTTGGATATTACGAATTTTTGAAAATCATTTGTTTATAATGAAATACGTATAACGATTTTTTTGAGCTTGAGCCGATCCATCGTTATATAGAGCTTTGGCTGTACAGTCAAATCTCGATATAACGAAACCTGGCTGGATATAACGAAATTTTTGATATTAGAAAAGAAACCTTTTGATATTAGAAAAGAAACCTTGTGTTTTGAAATTACCTCCATATTCCAGCTCTAGAGGTTCGTTATATCGAGGTTTGACTGTACTTTATCAAGTACATTTATTATGTTTATAATTAGTGACTTGAACCGGGTATCCAACCATCAACCGGTTAACCGAATCGGTCCTAACCGAGTTTTCTTGGTTGACCCGGTTCAACCGGTCAACCGGGTTAATCAGAACATAAATGGTTGTATTGTTATCGTTATCTCGCTAATTCCAAATTTATGGCAGGATCAGCCGGCTGTATCTCCAACGCATAATGTTTCTTCTAATATTTACCGAAAGGGCTTATTCTGCGATGGTTTGGTGGCACCAGATTATTGCAGTTATTGCAATAATCAATCGATTCAAGGAAATTTCTGCAACGGGGTAGGAGTAAAACTAATTATTTACGGTTGGAGGGTCTCTCCGGTTGTTCTAGAGGTTTCCCGTGACGATTTGTTCACAAATCGGCCTTTTCAAAGTGATGAGGGGTCTTTGAAGAATAGATAGGATAGAATACTGTTGCGTGCTACTATTTTAATCGGTCAAAGAGGGGTTTTTACGCAACTGGGATGAGAGCTAGACTGAATTATT